GGGCTCATCCAGAACTGCACACGGGCCACTCTGCTCCAATTCTCCTGCTCAAAGTCCGCAGCTGCTCCCTATTTCCTGTCGGGGAGGATGCCTGGTTCTCCTGGACCTGGCTAACATGGTATCCCTCTTGCAGGACTTCTCAGTGGTCCCAGCATACTTGGAGAATTGGAAAAAACTTTGGATCCTTGAGCAGAAAAATGCAGGTACAGGAACAAGTTTCAAAATCAGGCTGGTGGCTCAGGACCACCTCCTTGTGCATCTGGGACGAGATGCCCTCCTCTGACACCCGTCACATCCCACTGCCAGCAGCCCTCTGCCCAAACCAGTGCTAGGCTCATCCTGGCCTCCCAGCCTCTGACTTCCGTTCCTCCCTCCTAAGCCTCCGCATCCAGGTGATTCCTTCTAGCCCCGCCCCCCAGGATTCTTTCCCCACCTTACCTGCCCCCACGCCTTAGCGCTCATCTCGCCCAGTGGCTGCTGGGGGTGTCACCTTAGAGGCAGGGCTCAGACCTAGTGAATCAGAACCCAGCAGGTCAGAAGGGCAGCCAGGGGAGTTCTGATTCAAGCTAAAATCCGAGAACCCCTGCTCCAGACCATCTGGGTTACATACTGTTAATGATCAGCCAAGAAAAAGGCTCGGGTATGAAGCCTAGGAGCCCATTCCAGATCTTTCTAGGCTAAGCAACTCTCCAGTGGCTGGTCTCCCACAGCTACAGGAAGGCTGCCCTGCTTCCTTGGAGGCTGTAGGGGACAGCCCTGTCACCCATCGCAGGCTTGAAGAGCACTTAAAGCATCCTTCTACCGCCAGCTGGCTGGACTGGCGATATGAACGGGGTTCAGAGGAGCTGGCTGTATCAATACCTAAGAGAACGGTGAAGAAACCACGCAGCACACGAGCGTAAGTCTCTAAAGGCAGGACTCAAAGGTCAGCTGCGGTGCTGGAAGGAGCAAGAGAGCGAGCACCCAGATTCTCTTTATTTTTATAGGGGGACACACAAAAGGAGGTTCCATGGAATGTTCTATCCAAATTAGGCGGGGGAATCAGGCTTCAGGGGGTTGCCCATCCCCATCAGGTGACGCCCAGGTAGGGCATGAAGCAGGCCCCGTTGCCGAGCGAGGGTAAAGGGCTCTTGCCCTGCACAGCTGTCGCGGATGTGCCAGACCAAGACCCCCCACCGCTCAAGGGTGGGGAGCAGCCTCAGCCAGGGGTGACGGGGGCTCCCCACATCCCTCCATCAGCCAGCACCGAGATTCCCCAATGTGGGGACCATGTTGGTTGGGTGTGTCTGAAACCAGCTTGAGTTCTCTAAGAGGGGCCTGCCAAGCTCTAGGTGCTGGAGCATCAGGAGAGACAGAGGTCGTCTGGGTGCCAGTGACTGGGGGGCCGAGGCAGGAGGATTGCAAGTTCCAAGCCAACCTGGGCAACTTAGTGAGACCCTGTCTCAAAATAAGAGATGAAAAGGTCTGGGGCTGTATCTTAGCCGACCCAGAGAGAGACAGGGACACACGCCGAGGGAGGGCACCTGGCAACAAGAGGCTGCAAAGGATTATGGGAGCACCGAGGGGGCCGCCCATTCCGACTCATTCAGCAATGACTCACAGAAAGTGACCATTTAGCGTTGGCCTCCCAGGCTGGGCAGAATTTGGACTGAGGGTGTTTCAGGTCACAAACTCGTGGTTGGTACCCCAGTGAGTGCAACACATGTGGCGGGAACACAAGGCAGACTGGTGGGCAAAAACCACGTGGTAGTAATGCCACCATGTCCCCTGATTCTAGGATGTTGTTTGTGACCTTCATATCTCTGAAACTGACAAGTGCCTTACAATCACCTCACAGTCGTCACTGTTGTGTTTTCTTCCATTAGTGCAAATTTGGCGGTTCTTGTCCCCAGTGGGAGAGAGTGCCTTGCACTGATGGGATATTTCCAACCCGTGGCACTGTGGTGAAGGCCTTAGGTGGATCAGCTCCTGGAGTCCTCACAACACACCTGTGAGGTCAAAGTATTATTATTATTTCCAGTTGAATAACTGGGAAACAGGCACAGAGGGGCTAAATGACTTACCAATGGTCACACAGCTATTAAGCTGTGGACTTGGGATGTGAATCAGGCAGGCTGCTACTCTAGAGTCTGTATTCTTTTCCCTTTAAAAAAAAATAATTTAAGCCAGGCACAGTGGCGCACACCTGCAATCACAGTGCTATGGGATGGGGGGGTATGAGGATTGAGAGTTCAAAACCAGCCTCAGCAAAATTGAGGCGCTAAGCAACTCAGTGAGACCCTGTCTCTAAATAGAATACAAAATGGGGCTGGGGGTGTGGCTCAGTGGCTGAGTGCCCCTGAGTTCAATCCCTGGTACCCTCCACAAAATATCATTTTAATTCAAACTTTTTTATTGTGTTAAGAAACACCTAACAGGGCTGGGGATGTGGCTCAAGTGGTGGCGCGATCGCCCGGCATACGTGCGGTGCTGGGTTCGATCCTCAGCACCACATACAAATAAAGATATTGTGTCTGCCAGAAAAACTAACTAACTAACTAAATAAATAAATAAAAATAAATAAGAAATACCTAACATAAATGTAGGAAAAAAGCCGTTCCCCCTCTTGTTCACACCACAACAAGCAGCAGAGAAGATTCCAGTGATCTCCAGAGATGTAGGGATCAATCCCTAGTGAGCGGCGGACGCTAGCTGGATGTACCCTAATTCAGGTCGGCTCCGACACTTCCCACCTGGAAACAGCACCAGACCCCACAGGGTGAGGGCTCAAGCCATGAGCCAGTCCCTAGGCTTCAGATGCCTTTCCAGGCCCCCTGCTGTCTGACTGACAGCTGTAGATCTGGGTTCCCACAGCCCTCCTGGGCTCCATGGTGTGTCGATGGGTTTGCAGCACCCAGGGACACGCATTGCCTTCCTTGTGAAGGATGTTACAGATGAAGAGATGCACAGGGCGAGGGGCGCAGGGGGGCGGTGTGGGGTCTCCATGCCTCTCAGGTGCACCACCTGCCAGGACCCCTGGCCCTGGCCATGGTCAGCCCTCTCAAGCCTTCCCTTTATTCTTGATTTTCTGAAGTATGAATGCGATACCTAGGGGCAGGGCCTCAGCAACTTAGTGAGGCCCTGAGCAATTTAACAAGAACTTGTCTCTAAATAAAATATTAAAAAGGGCTGGGAATGTGGCTCAGTGGTTAGGCCCCTGGGTTCCATTCCCCCCCCCACACACACACAACACAAATAAAGAATGTGACAGAGCCACGGTAGGAGGCCTACTTGTCATCTGATATACCCTAATTGGGGGAGGGACACACACTCCAAGGTGGCAGAGGATCTTAATTAGTATCACAAAGGAATGCTAGAATGCTTAATGGTTAGAATGAGTTATGGTGGCCAAGATAGGAAGACCTGCTAAAAAGAATTAGCGGGCACCTCCATCCTTGAAGAAACCAGAGTTTTAGAAATCCAGCAAGCCCTGCAGCCTGTACCCTTTGAGGGGTGTTCTGACACAGGACTCTGATCCCGTGTCCAGGTGTTTCTGGAGGCCAGCTGTGGACTAGGTCAGCTAAGCCCGGCCTCGTGACATGTGCCACAGTCCCAGTGCCAGGTCCTCGGGGCTGAGGCAGGAGGAGTGCAGGAGTTTGGGAGCAGCCTGGGCCACGCGGTGACAGCCATCTTGATAACCTTCAATGCATGGCGTGCGTCCGGGGCCTCAGAGCCAGACCAGATTCCTCCTCCAGCTGCAGAGTGTAACGCTGCGCGGAGTCTGCTTCTAAAAGGGCTTGGGCTGTGGAGGCTGGAATTCCTTGGGGGATGGTGGAGACAGGAGCCCGACTCCCAGATGCGGCCAGAAGAACTAGACCCTTGTGACTGACCACGTGTCTTCCAGTCACATCCTGAAAACGTTTCTCAGAACCATGTTCTAGAGCATGGCCGCCTGTTGCCTGGTGGAGAATCCCGGCACCATGGGTTTCCTGAGGGGTCGGCCAAGCCAGGAAGCGCCAGGGACCTAGGGGGCGTCCAGGTTGGGGTGCCTTCCGTGGGAAGGGAAGGGATGCCAGCCGCTCCTCCAGAGCCTGTTGCTGATTGACCCTTGGAAATGGGAGACAGTTTTCTTCTCCACCCTCCCCCACCCAACTTCCCAGAGTGACAGGAAACTTGAGGCCAGCCGGGCCAGCCCCACGGAGGGCCACACCCAGCCTCTTCTGGGAAAGGCAGGAGGTTTGCAGAAACTCTCTAAGAGCCCACAAGGCTTTCATTGTCTCGTCAAAACCTCAAAAGTCAAAGGGACTAATGAGGCGGGGACACTCTCGAGTGCTTGGATGGAGAGAACCAGACACAGAGTGACACACGAGGAAGGCCTAAAGCGCCTGCCTGCCCCTGCCCCATCGGGACCCCCTCGGAGAGAGCTGGTCTCCTGGGGGTTACAATAAAACTTTCAGAAATTCATAAATGCAGCATGATTCCAAACCAGTTCAGGGACCCAGAGTCTGGCCCCTGTTCCTAATTCTACCAGCCGAAGTAATTGATGAGGCACCTCAAGATGCGTCCCCTGCGGGGATTTTAAGAGGTCTGAATTATACAGTGGCTGCAGATCCTCTTGGAAAATGATCAAGTTCTGTGCAGACACTAATTAGCAGAGTTACATGGTCAGGGGTGGTCAGACTCTCCTCATTGACCTGATACACAAAAATTGATGTTTCATAAATGATACATTCCATCCTATAGGACCCAACTAACATGCCAGCGTCTTTGGTTACTATTACTATTGTTTTATTATTGTTGTCATTACTGTCGAGTCAGGCAAATGGAAGAAGCCCTGTTAAGTGGGGCTCCCCTCCCCTGCTGAGGAATGGCGTGAAGGGCGGGGTCGTTAGTGTCTACACAGATCGTGATAAACAGTGTTTTTGGAGTGGAGAGCCATTGCACCCGCCTAACCCTTTCCAGAACTGTCTTCCCGGCCGACCAGAGGAGGTTTGGTGGAGTCCTCAGCGCTGCCCACTTACAGTTGAAGAGACTCCAGGAATCCTCTGTGCTGCGAGGAAAAGGTGGTCAGTGGCATCCACCACGTGCTTGATGTTCATCCTCCCGGCATTGTATCACCATCGGCAGCCCTCCCGGCGCTCTGTGGCCACCAGGTGGTCAAATCTGCCAGGGAGCAAGGGCAGAGGCCTTGGGGGAGTGCGGCAGCTTGGCCGGGTCCTGTCTTTGGGCTCTGTTATCCTGCTCTGTGCGGGGCCTCTCCTGGGACCAGACCACCACGTGATCTTAAGATGCCCGTGGGGTCCTTAGCAATCTCCTTACTAGACTCGGAGACTGCGAGAGCAGGAGGTCATGGTGACTGGGATGTCTGGGGGCCACCGACAGAGCCGCCTGACCCAGAGGTGGCCCACCGTGTCCCCCTTCCAGGTTCTTGTTCACTTTACAGAAATAAAACAGAATTTGAAACAGAAAACGAAAGAATCAAACACTAGATGAACTTCCAGAGAGAGAGAGGGAAGGAGGGGCCCGGATGACGGGCAGAGCCACACTGGGTCCCCTGCCGGGTCCTCGTGTCATGGGCCTTCCCAGCCTTCAGCATGTGGGAGAACAGCACCGAGAGGGTTAGACCAGGAGGGGCACAGGAGGGTCTTGGCACAGAGCCCCACACCTACCGGGGGTAAGTGCCAGCTGTTGCTGCCGATGGTTGTATTTTTAACAGGAATATGTTTTTTTTTCTTTTTCGGTACCAGGGATTGAACCCAGGGGCACTCAACCACTGAGCCCCAGCCCCAGCCCTTTTTTGTATCTGATTTAGACACAGGGTCTTGCTGAGTTGCTCGGGGCCTCACTAAGTTGCTGAGGCTGGCTTTGAACTTGTGATTCTCCTGCTTAGCCTCCTGAGTCACTGGGATTACAGGAGTGCACCGCAAGAATATGGTTTTGATAATCCAATAATACAGTTGAGGCACATAGATGGTGTTTTTACATCTAAGTCCCCTCCTAATGGAGTTCTTCAAAATCTCAACTCTGCCATAGAAAACAGTATGGCTGTTCCTCAAAAAATTAAAGATAGAATTACCATCATATCCGGCAATCCGTACCCAAGACAACTGAAAGCAGGTGTTAGAGTCTGTAAACAAGTCGGGATGGCGCCTGGCATTTTGCCAGGGGGAGTGGTTTGTGAAGTCACAACAGCGAGCCATTAAGTGTGGAGATTCCTGATTGGTTGACTGCTGTATCTAGTTTATGTTAATTAGATAAGCTGTGTGGAATGTATATATACCCCTCCTGTCCTACAATAAACGGCTCCCACTCCTGCTGCATCAATGTACACAAGTTGCTCGTCACCCCCCCAGTTATTTTGCTGCAGCCGGACTGTGGCACCTGTCCATGTCCTTTGATTGTGCTGGAATGTGGAACATCCCCTGTGCCTTGAGAGGGTGGGCCACCAAGGCAGCCTCAGAATGCACTCCCCAGCCCCCACTGGGAGGCCGATGATGGGGGTGGGAGGAGCTTGACTCTGTGTCTCCCTTAGACCAGTCACAGAAGGAGAGGTGAAAAGGTAAATGGGACGAGAACTACCAGGGAGACCAGTGTGTCCCCCGCTCTGGAGAAAGAGCTGTTTCTGGACGTCCCCCCCCCACCCACACAACTCACTTGCACGCTCAGCAGGGAGGACTGGTCTTCTAGTCTAGAAGCTTCCACTGTGCCGTGGTCGGCAAGTGCAGCCTGCTCCGTGGAAACCGACTCCTCTTCTCCAGCCCTCCCTCCACCAAGAGGACTTTCTGGGTTCTCCCCAGAGCCGGAGCTATGTGTGACACCAACTGTCTGGGGTCACAAACACCTCTGACCTGCACCGCACATGCTTGCAGCGTCACGCAGCACATCGGATCCTCGGTCAGACTTTTCCTTGGACCTCAGATCCTCAGTATGAGCTCCAGATTCCGTTGTGAGCTGCGATATAGCTATCCCTCGATGCCTAGTGACCTGTGCCTTAACATTCTAAGTGGACATTTGTCAGTGGGTTAGGAAAAGAAATTTCCTGGTCCAAGTCAGCATTTTTTGAAAAGTGGAACTGCAGAGACAGAACAGAAAGCATCAGAGTACAGTGCACATCGTTGATGTGGATCCTGCAGTACTGCAGGAGCGAATGCTGTATTTAAAAATGTGTGTGTGTGTGTGTGTGTGCGTATGTATGTGTGTGTGTTTGCAGTGTTAAATGCATTTTGATGGGTTGTTACAAAAGTGTGCAAAACACTGCATCACAACTTGTGAGATCTGAAGCACAACTCTGCACATGATGAACAGGTGAATTTCAAAATGTGAGACCCCAACACTCAATAAGAAACACTCGTGAACACATGATTTCATAAGAGAATACTTAATATTAACATGCCAGCTTTACAATGCAACGATCATTCCACTATCCAAAGGAGCCAGGGTCCCCCAACTGAAAGGATTTTCTATTTAATAAGTCCTGACCTGTGGTTTGAAACTGCTAATCATTTTTTAAAAATCCTCTTATTCCCTCCCTTTGTCAGAGGACAAGCCGCTTCTCCCTGCTGCCACACACCGGCTGGTTCCAGAGGTTCTGCGGAGCCCTGGCACAGCCGGAGCTCCCCGCCTCTGTGACAGAGGGGCCCTGCAGACCACCTACCGGGGCTGTGCAGAGGCTTTGTGGGGGAGTGAGGAGCACGTGGGTGTTTCCCATCGGACACTTGATCTGGGACGAGACACACATACCTGGGTGACTTGGGGTCCCCATCTTTGCATAGGACCCGTGAGCGTCTTCCATTGATCCACCTTGGTAATTAACATTGGGATCAGTGTCTTCAGATCACCTTGAAGAAAACCGCAAAGGGTGGACACATCAGGCCTGGTGTTAGGTTTTGGAAATTCAAGTTCACTCCCCAAGGGCTCCTTTGGAGGGTTGTCAAGACCACTCTGGAACAATGTCCTCCTGCAGGACGCTGTTGAGTCAGTCCAGGCCAGGACACAGGACCTAAGTAAGCTCTAGGTTGGCAGGCTGGAGGGTGGAGTCAGGCCTGCGTGGACGAGCACATACGTTGCATGTAAGACGCCCAGAACCCCACACGGACCAAGCCTGTGCCAGCCAGGGAGAGTGCTGGGCACACAATTACGTGCCCACGGTGACAGTGTGTGGCCCTCCACTGGGCACTTGACGTCACACTCTCACTTAACTTTCACAGGTCTGTGGAATAAATACCATTGTTATTCCCATTTTATAGAAGAGGAAAACCGAGGCTCAGAGCTACTGAACAGCTTGGGCAAAGCCAAGTATTGGTGTCAGAGTCAGGACTCCAGTTCTCACCTAATTCCCACCCCCCCACACTGCATACCTTCAGGGACATTCAAGAAAGCCCCAGAGACCAAGCCTTGGGTTAGCTACTTATTTGGGAGTGATTTCCAAGATGCATTTGACTCTTGAAAAAAAAGAAAGAAACAACACTTGCTCTAATTATAAAAATAACACCGACTGTGGTAGAATATGAGCAAAATATACACAAAGCCAGCTTTCGCCCGCCTATCTCACGGCCGTTTGGGGTAGAATCTGGTTTATTCATGGGCCCAGGATGAAGGCTTCTTCATGCAGAGCTGGATGGGGACAGAGCTGGGGACAGGGGTCTCCTGCCCGACACTACGGGCCTCCTGGGTCTGCAGGGCTCCAGGTCAGCTCTGTGGCCCTGGACGGCCACCAGGAGGTATTTTGGAGGTGATTCGGCCATCTCCATAATCCCCATCACCGGCTCCTGCACTGTCACGTAAGGCCACTTCACGCTCCCTACTCTCTACATTAAGGCCACGCGCTTGTGTCACAAATGCAGCCTCAGGGCGGGGGCTCCTCCCAGGCTCTCCATCCCTCAGCTGCCCCAGGCCCTCTGCAAGCCGCTGGGCCATCCATGAGGGCCCGCGGGGCAGGCTGAGGTGAGGACCAGGATCACTGCCAGAGACCCTGCTGTGGGCCTGGCTGAGGGGAAGGCACGAGGTGGTCATCGGGGGACGCTGCTTCAGGACAGTCCACCTGTGAAGTAATGGGCCATAACTGGGGGACTGGGGACAGGGGACAGGAGGTCACACAGGCTGAGGGCCCCAGCCCCTCCCTGGGCTGCAGGTGGGATCTCGCTCCACTTCCTACCAGCCACCCCAGCCCTGGGTGTCCCCCTCTGCCAAGTCACCCCACCTACCAGGACGGCCGCGATGGCTCCCTGAGGTGGCGCCTGCCGACTGCCTGGTACAAGGGGGCGCTAAGCACAGGCGGCTCTTTCTCACGTCCTCAGAAGTGGATCAAGGGTATAGGTACCCGTCAGGGGGCCCAGGGGACCAACAGGGCAGAGAACATGGGCATCCCAGAGAGGGTTGGCACCTGAGGAAGGACACGTGGGGACCTCTGAAAGGGACAGAGGGGAAGGTGCGGCCCCTCTGGGCTGCAGGGAAGGTCTCAGGACAGGACGGCCTCCCGCCTTTCCTCCTCTGGGATGTGTCCTGGGCCTCAGTCACCAAAGGACTGAAATCACTGTCATCAAAGGGCCACACGGATTCTTTTCTTCATTCAGATGTAATGAAAGTTCTGCAGAATCCAGTAGAACCATCCCCAGCTCTAAGTCGCGGCCAGAGAGCAGGGTCCAGAGCAGCTGCCGGCCCAGCTCCCGGGAGACCCTCTCTGCCCAAGGCCACACATGGGCTCCTTCTGCTCTCCCTGATGGCTGCTCTCCCTCCCTCCTGCTCCTCTTCTCGGGAGGGGTCCCTGGGGGTAATCAGGTCCTTTGCTCCATCCCTACTTATTCCCGGACTTCCCAGTGTCTTCACTGCGGCTCCCAGGGTGTCTGTGGCTCCCAGGGTGTCTGCAGCTCTCTAAGGCATCCTGGGGACGCAGGCAGCTGTAGGCACTCACCTCCACGTCCACCTCCCACCCAGCTTCTCCACCTGCGTGTCCCGCTGTCATCACACATGTGACAGCCTCGAGCCTGCGCTCCATAAGAAAACTTAACTGTGGAAAAATACACAAGATATAAAGTTGATCATCTGAACCGTTTTTAATTTGGTGGTACTAAGTGCGTTCACCTTGTGTGATTGTCACCACCACCCATCTCAAGGACTCTCCCCAAATTGAAATTCTGTCCCCTTTCAACACCAAGCCCTCATGTTCCCTCCACCAAGCCCCTGGCAACACGAATTCCACTTTCCATCACTGTGAACTGGACAACTCTGGGTCCCTCCTATAAGTGGAATCATACAGTATCTGTCCTCTCATGACTGGCTTATTTTACTTAGCAAAGTGTCCTCAAGGTTCGTACGTGTTGTGACTTGTGTCAGAATCCCCTCCCTTTTCAAGGCCGAGTAATATTCCGCTGTGCGTCTACACCACATTTTGCATGTCCATCCATTCATCCACAGAGAGTTCGGTTGTTTCCATTTTTTGGCAGCTATGTTATGTGTTTCTTACCACCACTGTGATTAGTGCTGGATGGAGGGGAATCCTATTTTTAATGTTTTAAGCAGCTGCCATACTGCTCTGGGAGCACCTGCCCCATGTTGCTGTCCCAGGGACGGTGCACCATTCTCGAACCCGGATTCTTTTTTTTTCTTTTATGGCTCTGGGGATTGAACCCAGGGACACTCTTCCACTGAACCACACCCATAATTTGGAGACAGGGTCTAGCTCCGTTGCCCAGCCTGGCCTTGAACTTATGATCCTTCTGCCCCAGGCTCCCGAGCAGCTGGGCGGCAGGCTTGTGCCTCGGTGCCTGGCAAACCCAGACTCTTGGTCTACACCCCAAACCTGCTCCACCGTGATTCCCCCCCCCCCGTCTCAGCTCATCCAGCACCATCCTCTCAGTCACCCTTAGAGGAAGCCGTGGAGGAAGCAGTCCCCGATGCCCCACGGCACACCCACCAGGTCCCGGGAACTCAGGTCGACGCCACCTACAAGACACCAGCAGAATCCAGCTGCTCCCAACCCCCACCTGGACCTGTGCCGCTCGCCTGTCCTCCTGACTCTGAAGCCAGAGCCTGAGCCAGGGGTGGAGGTGGCGCCAGGAGGCTCCGGGAGGGACCCGATAGCCAGGCCTGGATACCCTACCCGTCCCAAGCCACCCTCACCTCCCACCTTTGGCAACCTGACCAGTCCTCTGTACCAGCCGGGGACCTTCCAGGACCAGGGAGAGCCTGTCCTCCTCTCAGTGGGTTCCCAGGGCCTCACCCAGAATAAAAGCCCAGATGCCCAAGGTGCACCCAGGGGCATTCAGAGGCCTGTGTCCTCTCCCGCACCTGCCAGGTCCCCTCCACCTATGACCTCTGCCCAGGCTGATGCTACCCCCGGGCACTCTTCCCTCAGCCAGCCCGGCCTCCCTCCATCAACCACACGTCACCTTCCCCGCCAGGTCCTCCCTGACCTCCTGTCTGAAGCAGCAGCCCCGCTGGCCCCCACGCCCACTCCCGTCTGCTGCTCCTTCTCCATGTAGTTGTCGCCCTCTAACACAGCATCCTTTTCTCTGATGTGGTTTGTTTTCTGTCAAATTCCAATAAAACACAGGCTCCTTGAGGGCAGGATTGCTGCTGGTTTTGTTCACGGTGCCTGGCACATAGTAGGTGCTCGATACACGTTGGCTGCCTTAGGTGGAGTCTGCGTGCACAGAAACAGCCTTTGGGACAATTCCAAAATAATGGGGCCCTTTAGGGTTGGCCTTGCTGGAGGCGAAGTCCTTTTTAAATGCTGGAAGGAAAAGGCACTTCCCTGAAGGATGCGTGTGGAGGGACGCAGAGAGAGAGGTGGTGGGAAGTGGTTAGATTCCCCAGGGCTAGCCCTTGCCTCAAGGTGGAGGCGGCGTGGGGAGCAGGCTTCACACAGCCCTCGGCCAGGCTCAGCACACGGACGGGTCAGAGCCCTGCATCTCCAGCCCCTGCAGCCCTGATCGCATCTGGGCATCTCAGGCGCAGCCCTGGCCATCTGCACAGGCGGGACACTGCAGTCTGCACCTTTCAACCGCCCTGTATTTCACCACCCCTCCCCAACCCCAGTGATCCAGGGCTGAGCTAGGTTGCTGAAGTCCTCGAAGCCTGGCAGAACTGAGTTCAAATCCCAGCTCACCATTCCTGCCTGGGTAAGTCCCTGGCCCTCTTGGAGCCTCCGTCTCTTTCTCTCTGCAAGGGGAATGGCCCTGCGTATGGCAAAGAGTTCTTCTGAGCTCGGAGGAGAACTCCCTGTGTCTAGGGCACAGCCCTGTGCCTGGGTGCCCTGCAGAGGGCTACGCACGCTAACTCCCGCCAGCCTCTGCAAGAGCCTCTCTGGGGAAATAGACTGGGCCCGTCCCTGCTCACCTTGCTCTACAGCGTCTTCAACAAGTTTCCTGTGCAAGCTCAAGGCTCTCTGGCTGACCACCCTGGAGACCCTCCAAGGCCACAGGAAGTGCCCAGGGCCATTGCTCCCAGCGGGTCATCCGTCTCTTCTGGGGGCTCGTGATTGAAATGTGTGGGGAGCCCCATGGTGATCAGCACCGAATGGCCATGGGACAGTGACAGAGGGACCTTCAGCTGCTCATCCTGACAGAGCAGGGCCCGATTCCTCGGTTGCCTAAAGTAGAAAAGTAAAGCATTAAAATAAAACCAACCAATTGCGCTTAAAGTCAAAATTTCATGGTAAGAGTATCCGGGTTTTCACTGTTTCCTCCCTCCCTCCCTCCTTCCCTCCCTCCCTTTCTCCCTCCTTTTCCTCCCTCCATTACTGGGGGTTGAGCCCAGGGGTGCTCAAACACCAAGCTGCATCCCTAACCCTTTTTACTATTTTGAGACAGGTCTGACTAAATTGCCCAGACTAGCCTCAAACTTGCAATCCTCCTGCCTCAGCCTCCCAGAGAGCTGGGATCAGAGGCGTGCACCTCTGCACCAGGCTGCTTTGTGTTTTAAAGAATTGCTCAGCAGGGCCTGGGGCCGGGGCTCATGGTCGCACACTTGCCTGGCATGGACAAGGCACTGGGTTCGATTCTCAGCATCACATATAAATAAACAAATAAATAAATAAAATAAAGGTCTATCAACAACTTAAAAAAAAACAAAAAAAGAATTGTTCACCAGAAAGCATTCCTGTCCCCCCACTTCCCCCAGGGGTGGAGGGCCACTGGGTAAATGGCCGACTGGCCTCCCGTGCATCTAGCCGTGGCTATGAGACTGGCTGTCTCCGGGGACCATTGGTGGGAAGGACGGGTGCCCCCTGGCCTGGCCCCACGCTTCCTGTGCATTTCTCCACTCTCTTTCCCTTTATGGGGGGTGGGATGTTGGCAGCTGGAGCCCCCATCACATGATCTCGGGGCAGAGCTGCTGGGTCCCTGAGTGACTGGGAGCAGAACCCCTTCCTGAAGACCCCAGGACTGTTAGGCGAGGGACTCCTAGGGTGCTTCAGCAAAGCATCTCGGGGCTGTTCGTTACAGCAGCTTGGCAAACCCTTGGGCAACCTTCCCCATCGGGGTACCGACCCCTCTACGCTCCCTGGAGCTCAAAGGAGGCCCTGGAGGGACAGAGACTGTCCTCGGAGGGATCTGAGTCTCCGGTGGGAGCTGTTCTGCTGGGAACCGCCACTCAGCTGTAGCTGGCACCCAGGGGGGCAGCAGGGGCAGGCAGGGCAGCAGCAGCGCACGCTGTAATGGCCACCGCAGCTCAGCCTCCTGGCCGTCACAGAGCATCACGCCCAGCCACACTCGGGTCATCTCAGAGCCAAACAGAGCCCTGTGGGGGACAGCGTGACTAGGAACTTCCACCCTGGCTATGGCTGGAATCCCAGGACCAAAGGGACATTGGTTTGCAGCCATGTGTGGGGAACCCTGGGGATGCAGGGCTGGTACTTCCTGTGGAGGAAATGTCCAGATTGAGAATCTGGAAACCTAATTCAGTGCAGGTGCTCACGAGTCACCTCTGTGTGTCCTTAGCCACACCTCTTGACCTCTCTGAGCCTCAGTTTTCCAAGTGGGAACTAAAACAGTTTTGTCTATATCTTGGATTTGTATATTCCACAGAGACAGCTACCCACTTCTAGTTTGTAGCATACCTAGTAAAGAAATCATGAGTGTGTAGACAAATTTAGTGATAAGGATGTTCACTGTGGTGTTATTTATGGGGTGAAGTACTGGGATATTAATCAAAGGCAGAACATTTCTATAAATAGATAACATTCCATAGAAATATAGTGGAATTCTATGCAAACATTAAGAAGGACGTTGTGGAAGACTGTGATATAGAAAATGTTCACTATATATTCAAAAGTGCAAAGAGCAAGTTATAAAGTAGTGTACTGGAATTCTAGTCCACATGCATGCCTGCAGAGGTTTGAGAGTGAAGAAAAAATTTACTGTCGATATTGGCTAATTGCAATGTGGTTCTGATAAATTTTAGTGCTTTTTTAACTTTCATATATTTTTTTGATGCTTCTATAATGAGCATGAAGTACTGTTGATAAGAGGGGAGAAGAATCACAACTTTTTAAAGGAAACAATCAGGAGGTACTGTATTCCATTGGATATGGTGAGCACTAAGCGGGGAGGGGGTGTTTGGTCAACCAAAATCCCCGCATCCATTTATGATGATTTTATTATCAGTGCAAAAATCATTACTGTCCCCTGTATCCCTGGCATTCCTTCAGATTCTCCAGGGACCTCGTGTGCAAGATCCTTTTAAAAAAAACACCATGTGACTCTCATGCCTGCTGAATAATTCTCAGTGCCCTGGATGCTGTCATGAATCTCCTGTCTGCCTATTTAATATAGTGGCAATCAAAATCATCTATTGTTCTTGAGGATTAAAGATGGTCCTTAGAAGATGAAATCAATACGTCCAGACAGCCATTAATCTGCCTCCGAGCCTCCTGTTCCCAACACGCACAGTCTGCCAGGGCACTGCCTGGCAGCGCTGGGCTTGACCTCTCGCATCACCCTTATTAAGCAAAGGATTCATCCCCTCTGTGGTCAGTACACTTCCCAGTTCCTTTTAATTTTTTTTTTTTAAATTTAAGTGAATGGCTGAGTTAATAATTCCTCTTCCTCCTGAGCCTGTGCTAAGTGGGAGAGCCAACAGCTTGGGCAACAATGTTTGTATGGAAGAAAATACGTGCAAAGTTTAGAAAATATCCACCCAGGGGCTGGGGATGTAGCTCAGAGGCACAGCACTGGCCCAGCATGTGGGTTAGACCCTGAGTTCCAGCCCCAGCAACACACACACACACACACACACACACACACACACACGCACGGGCATGCACGCACACACACACACACAATCCACCCAGGATCCACTAAGAGACCATGCACACCTGCCCGCTGCTTGGGAGGGTCCTGGGTCTGCCTGTGGTGGGCTGAACTTACATGTGTTGCACGCAAAGGAGGCCACATCCCCTACAGGAGGAATAAAGGACTGAGCAGACCAGAGACCAGGCGGGAAGCTGGGCCCGGTGGTTCAGTGGGAAGCTTCATGACTGGATGGTCTCCGCTCCCAGCCCCAGGGGACAAAAGCGGCCATTTCTAAGGCTGGTCTGCTCTGTCAGATTCCGGGCTACAGTGCCGCCAGCAGGGGACAGGGTCCCAGGCTGTCTGCTCCAAGGCCCTGCCAGGAGCTGTCCTCTTACACTGTCACGGGAAACAGCTTTGTCTGGGTCCTGAGAGTCTGGCCCAAGAATGCACTGCCCCGGACTGGCCTCACCCCTCTGTGCTCCGTGGGGGCCGTCCGCCATGGATCGGATCCAGGAATCCCTTGGGATTCAGGAATCCCAGGAATCCCTTGGGAAACGAAGGTGCAGAAGAAGGGGTGGACTGTGAGCCAGGGGGTGACGGAACCTCCCTCTACCTGCCCAGGTGATGCCGTGACGTACCAGGTGATCAGACTCCAATTTAGCCAACACGGATAAATCATGGGCACTGGAGCCGGTGGACATGGGTTCAAGCTCTGCTGGACCAACTGGGAGGTTATGTGGACTTAGACGAGTTTCCTAAACTCGTGTGCCTCGGTTTCCTCGTCTGTTAAGTGAAGTTAACGACAGCTGTCTCGAGGCACTGGCAGAATTTAATAAGATGGACAGGTAGTGCTTTCAGCATGATGCTTGGCACAGAGTGACGCTCAGGAATCTTCCCCAAGCCCAGGAGGGAAGCACGATTGCTGGAAGTCCCGTCCCACTGACACAAGGTGGCTCTTGAGAACACAGACCCCGGGAACCCAGGCTGCCATTCCCAGACAGCGGGCGAATCAGCGCCCTCTGCTGGCCGCCTGGGTTCCGCTCCTGGAGGTAGGTGGAGGGGAAGTTCACAGCCCCCAAAGGCCCTAAGCCAACCTCTTCCTCCTTGGAATCAGCAGCCGCCTGGAGGATCCTAGAGCCTGTCCCGCGCCCATGACTCACAGACCGCCGGAGGGCCGTCCCTGCCGTCCCTTCCCTGAGGCACAATGTACACTCTAGAGGTTGGCTGGAAGCTTGTGAGGCTGTAGCCCTCCCAGACCCCAAGGGGGAGCCGTCCAGCCCCCACCTCCACCTTCTGCCCAGTGTAAAAGTCCAATCTGTGTCCAACCCAGGGCAGCGGCTCTAACGGGGGAAAATCGGGCACCTTAATGAATACGTGGGGAGCCTCTTTTAAATGGGGGCAGTTGCCCCTAGAAGCCGCTCTCCTTTCTTTCTCTTCTGCCCGGCCCATTAGGTTCTGGGTAGCAGGTGCCCAGCGGGCACACCCTCCCCTCAGGCTCCTTCCTGTGTTCAGTGCTGACATTTAGAACAGCAACGAAAAGTCATAAGGAAAAAAGATCACCCACCGCCCACCGCCTAGAGAGATGGCCAACGTTACGTCGGGGTGCATTGACCTCAGCCTCCTTGGGATTCACATGCAGGATGAGCATTTAAAACACTCATACTGCGGGCCCAGTTTGCAGAGTTTTTTTTTTTTGTGTGTGTGTGTGGGGGGGGATAGAACCCAGGCCTCATGCCTCTTGATGGTGAAGCGTTCCACCCTGCAGCCCGCCCACATCCTGCCCTTCTCCCTGAGCACTGCAGCAGGGAAGAGTCTCCCCAGGTCACTGGGTGTGACTGCTCTGCCTTACCTGGGTCTATGGAGATGGTCGCCTCCAGTCCTCTGATCTTCTGAACAGTGGAAGCTGACGCAATGCTACAGTGCAGAGGGTCTTGGGAAACGGGGTGGACCTCTGGGGTTGCCTCAGGGCTGAGACAGCTGGTCGGTCGTTACCGTGCATTCTGGAGTGCTGGTGAAAGCCACTGGAGCCTCTGCAGCCCACGACAGGAAGGACTGGGCCCGGCCACTCTCCCAGGTAAGGCAGAGCAGTCACACCCAGTGACCTGGAGAGACTCTTCCCTGCTGCAGTGCTCAGGAAGTGGGCGGGCTGCAGGGTGGAACGCTTCACCATCAAGAGGCATGAGGCCTGGGTTCTATCCCCCCCCCCCCCCCCCGCCACACACACACACAAAAAAAAACTCTGCAAACTGAGCCCACAGTATGAGTGTTTGCCCACTGTGGATGGCAAGATGGCACCCATGCCCCACCTTGGCCTGTGCGGCACCAAGACCAGAGCTTAGGACCGAAGGCCCATTCAGACATCTGCCTCGAGTTTTAGGAAAGCAGAGATAGTGTGACAAAAGAAGGGAGGTATGGTCACAGCTGGAGCCAGCGCTGAAGCCATGGAGACCACCAAGTGTTTACAGAGCATCTCGGCGTCTCCGTCTGCTTTCCAGGGAATGTTAGATTGGCTGCGAACACTGGGAACGTGGTTTCTATTTTTCTCGTAGCGCTTATATTTTGCTTCAGCTTATGCTAATTTTGTTCTTTAAGAAGACTCTCTCCTACTAGATCGCAGGCCGTGCGAGGTGCTGCAGCATAGTTACTAAGGAGCAGCTTCAGCTTGGCAGGCACACTCGAGTTTGAGATGTGACTCTCTCCTTTCTACACTTATTTCCTCGATTATAAAACAATGATAATACCTGGGGGGGGGGCGTTGTCAGAACTAAATTGGAAAATGCACATAAAAGTGCTTAGCCAGGTGCCTGCCACAGAGTCAGCCCTCAGTAAAGGCTGGTTTGAGTTGCTGCACCAGATACGGTATCTCAGCTTCTCTCCTTGCTCCTGGCTCCTGGCTGCTGAGTCCTTACTCTACTTAACCTGCCCTTTCTGCCTTCAGTGGTTATTATTGTCCTTGGGCAGGCTACTTTCACCCAGCTGAGTGCTCCTCGGGAGGAGGAACCATTGCTTATTCATCTCAGAATTCCTTGCACATAATAGGTGTTCAAAAAACATAGAGGTGAATTGAGTAACAATGTCTCGGATTCATGTAACAGTAGAATTTCTTAGGTGTAAAAGAAAGTCAGAGCCAGCCCATGTTTCAAAAGGAAAACCTACTGCTAGGTACACACCTTCCAGACGTGACGCATGCAGGGAAGGACCACCGGGTCTGCCGGGTGCTGTCGTTGTTTCTCTGTGTTTTAGATAGCACTGAACATGGCCACTCCAGAGCCATCACCCATCAGAACAGTCAATTGCTAATCAGAGTTTAAAGGTCGAAGCTGAAGAATGATTCAAGTTTGTCCTGACTGATGATGTCATTTGTTCTCATTTGCAATCAGACACACAATTACCACCGGAGCCAAAGGGCTGGAGTGTATGGGGCGGCCTGTGGCAGTGGTTCTGCAGGGTATCCCGGTGTCCGATGGCAGGGGACCAGAGACTGCTGTGCTGTGAGGCTGTGTGCACAGCTCCCTCAAACCCCACCCCAAAATGATCCCAAGCTCTCCGAGGGCTCCATCTGGTCTCATGCAGCTTTATATTCCCAAGATCTGGGTCAGGCCTGGAACATAGTAGGTATTCAATGAACGCATGTTAAATAAATGAATAAATAGCATCCCAGGGATCTTGGCATATCTTTTCACCTTATTACAGAGAATCTTTTCTTGTTACAAGTACTGACAGCCAAACTCTCAAGAATGCTTCCAAAATAAGCTAAAGTAACACTAAGTTCTATTTCTTCTAGAGCAAGTGTGGCTGACCAGGCCAGAATTTTCCTGGCTCTAAGACAATGGGTTGCAACGATTATTATTTTTATTGTTTCTGTAATGTTCCAATTTTGCTGTGAACTGCTGAGGGTGCCCTCAAGTGTCTCTTCATTGTAATATCACTCGAGCTCTTTGAAAAAAATGTACTGACAGTGTTTTCAATTACCTGGTTAAGTACAATTGGCCTCTGTATTTCAATTGTGAATTGAAAATAGTCTAAAGGGGGAAAAAAACTGTGTCTGTACTGACCATGTACGGACATTTTTTTCTTGTCATTATTCCCTAAACAATACAGTGTTCAACTACTTAAGTATTTACATCATATTAGGTCATAAAGGCAATTTAGAGATGACAAAGTATACGGGTGTGTGTATGTGCAGGTGATATGAAAATATCATCACTTATAAGGAACTTGAGAACCCATGGATTTTAGTATCCTGGATGGGGGGGGTTTCCTGGAATCCGTTCCCCTGGATACGGAAGGATGTCTGGACAATGTGAAATGGTTTGGTTAGTTTTGTTTCTTGGTTTTGCATCTTGTGTTCAGGGCCCTGCGAACCTCCTGTTGGGATGAGCTGTGAGTCTTTAGAGATGGAAATGTATTTGAGCTCTGAGCTGCTCTGGCGAGGAAACCCAGCCTGGGGTGAAGGACGCAGAGAGTCTGGTTTTGGGCTTTGGTCTGGAAATGGTTGCCCTCTAAGCCTCTGCTTTCAAGAACTCAGGCCACTGGCTCTGCCCTAGGTCAGAAGTAGGTGCCCCCTTGTGCCCCCAACGTACTGCAGCTGCTGACAGCTTCGAGACTGGTCAGTGGAGAAGGCCAGAACCCTGGGATGTCCCCTGGCCGCCACTCCACGGGCTCCCCGTAGTCAGGCCTGGAGAGTGCTTTGATCCCAACAGTTCTCCAGGCGGAGAGAGAAAAAAATTGGTGACTCCCTGGCAGGTGCCCTCCACCTTCAGTAGCGCATGGTTCTTTCTCCAAAAGGAACCCTAGTCTCAGGTTTATCTCAAATGGTATTTGAGGAGGAGGAGAAGGGGACTAGGAGACTTTCCAACTCAGGATATCCCATAACTTGTGGCCCATCTTGGCTGATATGGTTCCAGAAACCAGAAACTCAGACTCCATGATGTGATTCCCGGAAGGCATTGAGCCCGATGCTCTACTTTCATTGCAGATTGTAACGAAGCCAGCGTTTGCCAGTTTTTCTCGACACAGACTGAGTCCCGTGGCACAGAAACTCTGTTGCTTACCACCAATAGCACCTCCAACCCCGAGTGGCCGTCATGGTGGACAAGGACAGGGAAGATGGACGCTAGGCCTGCTCAGCAGACCCCCCTCCTGGTGGGTGGTCCTAGCCTGTCTTTACATGAGGAAGGCAGCAAACGCTGATTGTGTTCTCACAGAAGCCAAGGTTTGCATAATTTAAAAAAAAATTTTTTTTTTTTGGTACACAGCTGGGCAAGCTCTGTACGCGGGACCTGGGGCCAACACCAGGCTCTTATCAGGCCTTCTGCGAGCTCCAAGAGGCCTGGGCAGCTTCCCAACTACAGTCCTTCACCCCTGGATCCTTTTACTCACTTTCAGATTGAGGTCATACTCTGGGAAACAGTGGATTTCAGCTCCAGGGAAAATCTGGAACAGAGCCTTCTCTGCCCACATATGCCACTGACCAGATTAGAGGCGGCTTTGAGCTCAAATCTTGGGACAAAGAGTCCTGCTGCCACCCTCTGTTTCCCCCAGTTTCATTTGAAGTTCACAGGGGCTTCACCATAATCAAGGATCCCAGTGAGTGAGGCTGGCAAACCCGCCAAGGGCAGCAGCGTTAAACCTGGGGGCCTCTGTACACCCAGCCCTGGGGCCCTCCAGGACCCTCTGGGTCTCCTCCAGGCCCTGCAATCCCCACCCCTCCCCCCAGGCCCTGGGAACAAGGCAAGTTCCTGAGTCCTCCAAGGCACTGTGAGAATCATGAACAAGTCTGGGCACTGATCTGGGTCACCGATGTGAAAGGATTGTCCTTGGTCACCTCCCTTGGAGCAAGTGGCCTGCAGCAGCCTTTCCAGCTTGTCTTTGGGAACAGGCCTCACTGTGGCCACCAGAGGGCAGCAGAAACCAGCCACAGGGGCACCAGGCACTGTTGTCTGTCAAATCAAGTAAAAAAATGTCAGAAAACCTTCTTAGCCCAGATCCAAGCCCTGAGCACCCAGAGTTCAAGGCAGCTGAATAAAGGGGGAGGTCCCAGGAGCTGTGATAAAAATTCGCCTTCTACTTGGAGGTGACATAGAGATGGGCATGTTTGCTGATAACCACTGGTTTAAAACAGCGAATCCTAACTTTTTATGTGCCATGGATTCCTTTGGGGGCCTGCTGCAGCTACGGACGCCCTGTGGTTATAAGTCATGCTGTTAACCACTTTAAAAAAAATTCATAGGATTCCAGTGGCAACCAGCTTTATTGCAACATGAAGTTACTAAATTCTCTAAAAAACGTGAGGCCACAGTACGTGTGCTTTCCCGTCAACTGCTTCAGGAACCAAATGGTGATCTACAACCACTGTGAGTCTGAAGAGTGATCCGTGTGGGATACTTTTGACATTCCAGGAAGGGCTGTGATGAAGATATCTGTGATTTTTTTTTTTTTTTTTTTTTGGCAATCAGGTCTGCTGGTAAGGCGGCCGCGTGTTGCTGACTTTCATAACTAAAGGAAACCCTGTGCCTCAATTTGAGGTTATAAAAATAAAAAGGGTTTTTTTTTTTTTCCCATCCAATTTCATGGACCCTCTGAATTTTCTCCATGGATCTCAAGGGGCCCGTGGACCCCAGACAAGGAACTTCTGAGAGAATCACAGGTGAAGAGACGCAAGGGAGCAGAATATCCCACCAGGAGCTGGTGCTGTTCCAATCCCAGATTCCACATGGGAAAGAGTCGTCCAAAGTCCCCGGGGCCCTGCCTCACCCCGTCTCAATAGAAGTCGCCCAGGGTGACCGGTGCCTTTCACTGCCGGGGTGTGTGTGTTCTCCCTCCTCAATGGTTTCTGGTCCCTGCAGTGGGGCTTATGGAAGATCTAGGACGCGGCCAGAACTGTAATCCCCCAGGAAAGCCTTGGCGGCCACCTCAAGGGCTTGCTGTTCCCCTCTGGCGGCCGCAGGATGAACCTGGGTGTGCCTGCCAGCCTAGCGTCTGCGGAACGGCCCTGGGAGAGGGACAGGTTCCATCCCAGGGCCACTGGCAGAGCCAGGAGCACTCCCCAAGGCCAAGGGGCCTCTATCTGGAGGTGGCTTCTCCTCCTGGCTGACAGCAGGATGGCTGCCTGGCCACCTGTCCAGGACCCAGGGACAGGGGGGTCGCGGTGAGGCCTCGGGGACAGTGAGGTAGGGTACCAGTGCAACCACGGCCACGTGAAGCACATGATGTGGACACACTTGCACCTCCACGAGGCGTCCCTCAGTGATCACACCTGCCTCGTTGACATAGTATAGATGGCAGACAGGGGTTCCAGGTTCCAGTTGGCTTTGGGACTTGAGCAAGTGTCTGTTTGTCTCTCTGTCTCTCTCTGCCTCAGTTTCCTCGACTCAAATGAGAGGCTGTGTGTGATGAGCCATAGGCCCTCCCAGCCCTCACCTACTCCAATGCTAGTAAGTTCCAGGGCTGGACCCTGCTTTGGGGCCCAGCCAGCAGCCGTAGCACCATCCTACCCTTCCCCAGTTCAAGAAAACCTGTCGGGCACATGGTTCCCTGTGAAAGGCAGCACAGACTGTGGACACCCTTGTTTCTGACCAGAGGCAGCTCAGGCCTCTCTGGCAGGAGCCCAAACCAGACATTTTAATAAACGTTGCAGGGCTCAGGGTGAAACCTCCGATCTGAGTCCTTCATGAATAAGGAAACCTGCAACGTCACCATCTGCACTGACCTAGCAGTGAGAATGCTCAGACATTCCTGTCCAGGAAAGGGTCTGTGGAATGCCAGGCTAGTCCTCTCCCACGGACAGGATAGGTGATGGCTGGAAGGAAAGCCCAGAGGCACAGGGAGGGGTTACAACATCTAACAGAGGCTCAGCCCAGGGGCCACCAACTGCAGTGCAGTTGCCTCCAGCCAAGAACAAGACCAGGTTTTCCTGATACAGACATAACATAGCAGCTAGTGGCCGGCAGATGCCCTGCCACAAATCCCCGGGCATTAGCATAGCCAGCCACATTTTCCCTGAAGAGATGTGCACCTGAACCAGGGAGGTGTTTGAAAAACCTCACCGAGGGGCCCTCAATTAAAAGACCCAGACACATTCCAGACAGGTTTGGTGGACGCGGTTGCAATGCCCTGCCAAGAAGGGCCACATTGGATGTCACGGCAGTACTGGAGGTGGGTGGGCGAGAGGTTGGCTCAGAGGCGAACGACTTTTCCTGGGTTGCAAAAGTGGCTGAGCTGGGGACAGAACTTAGATTTTCTGCCTTCTGTGCCAATGTTCTCCCCACTACAGGAAAATGCAAGCTGACCCACATTTTCAGGCTGAAGTAGCACCCCCTTTCTCCCCAGAAAAATCTTAACTGGGCTTCTCCAGAAATCTTCACCATGGCTGATTTTAGAACTGTCAGGAAAAGAGTCTCTGCAAAAGAGTCCAATGTAGACAAACTTCCTATTTTCATGTCGCCCTGTTTTACTGGGCCACTAGCTGAGAAGATACCAGCACTCCAGGTGCTGGACACCCCCTTACTAGTTGTTCACAAACGTATCCAGTATAGGACTTTGAAGAATTGTGCAAACAAGGCCTCTGGCCTTGAGCTGGACTTCACAGAGATGTCTACATTCCTAAGATAAGAGAAGTTACCAACCGGGCTCCATGGTAACAGCTGGCAGGGGGAGGAAAGAAAGGGGAGAAGAAGCTCCCCCCTTCTCTTCTCAGGTGTGGTCCTTGAAGGGTTAACTTGCCCAAACCAGTGAAAGAAAAAGCTGCTTCTATGTGAACTTCTGCAGACTGTGAACTTCTGAAACCCCCCCTCCCCTTACAGCTGGGTATAAAACTCTGAAATTTCCTGAACTCGGGGTTCAGGGATTGATTGATTACAGCAAAAGCTGTGCCCTCTGCACCTGGCTGCAGCTAACAAAAACTGTTTCCTGCTATCATTGATGCCCTGCCTGTCTGTCCCTACAACAAGGCCTCTCTCTGCTGGCGGGTTGTGTGCCTACCTTGTATGCTCCTGCGTGGCTGAGACCTTTTGGGTCTCTCCCGGGGAGCCCCACCTTCTCCAAGGCCCTTTCCAGGGAGAAGCTGCAGTCTAAGATGAAGATCACCATGTCCTTCAGCTGCTCCAAGTACTCCCCCTGCGAGATCAGAGAGCCCGTGCAGTCACCAAATTCATATTTCTGGAACTGGGGAAGACTGTCCTGGGGACACAAGGCAAAGCTCATAGGCCCCAGACCCTCCATAAGGTCCTGGGCAATGGATTTTTTAAAAAGGACTGGGGTGAGCAAGGGGGCTTCCAGGGTTGAATTTTCGGGCCCACTTTCTTGGTGGCAAGGTCAAGAAAGCGGTTTTCAGCAGAGGCCTTGGTGGGCACCCTTGAAACATGACCAGATTGGAGGCTACTAAATCGGCATGCATAACAAGTAGCCCCCACCACCCCATTAAACTTCCTATAACCCCACCCAAGACCAGCCAAGCCAGCAAGAAAAAACAATGGTGCTCTCTCTGCCATGGAGGTGGGGCCAGCAGACCACACGGGACAGAGGACAATATCTCCAGGAAGCTTTCAGAACCAGCAGAGTGTGAGTCCTCTCTCTCTCCTTACAGAAACTCTTCTGTAGGATCTATGGTCCCGAGCCTGTTCTTCACTCACTCCCAAATCATCACGCTTTTGCTCCTTGCTAGACCACGCTGGGTGACAGAGCTGTAGCAATAGACAGGACACCATCCCAGTCCCTAAGTAGCTCCTGATCCTACGCTGGTTGGTGAGAATGCATTGGAAACAGATGCTTGCAAAACAGAGCAGAAGTGGTAACAGGTTAGGCAGAGGAGTGACTCAGGGAAGGGAGAAACCCACTCTTTCTTATTATAATAGTTTGGAACTGGATTGTCCCCCCAAATCCATGCATTGAAGACTTGGTTGCCAGCCTGTGTTCTATTGGGACATAGAGGAATCTTTAGGATATGTGGCCCAGTGGAAGGAACTTAGGTCATTGAAAAGGATATTTACCCCCTTCCCCTGCCCCCTGCTTCCAGGCACCGTGAGGTGAGCAGCTCTGCCCCAACATGCACCCTCTGCCACCATGTTCTGCCTCATCACAGGCTCAAAAGCAACAGCACCAGTCATGGTCTGAAACCACAAGTCCAAATAAGCCTTTTCTCCTTGTAAGTTGTTTATGTCAGGCATTTTGTTACAGTAAAGGAAAGCCAACCATGAAGGAGTTGGTGCTGGGTGTTTAGGCATAAATAGGAATTTTCCAGTCACACAGGGGGAAAGCACGTCGAGGCAGAGGGAACAGGATGTGGAAAGTGTGGGGGCATCCAGCACTATGGTCCACTGGGGGCTCTGCTCCAGGAGTCTCTGAGTTGGTGGTACAGCAGGAATCAGGGGAGCAACCTCAAGGATCAACCTCAGCCCCCTGGAGTCTCCATCCCTGGAGTTCACAAAAGATACTGACAGGAAGTCCCTGGGGTGCTGTCTGTCTGAAGAGAGGGTTGGGGACGACTAGAGTATCTGGGTCTGAGCAGTTCAGCTGGGTCCTGAGATTGGCTAAGGTGTAGGCCACAGGAAGGCTTTGAAGAACTTCAAACAGGAAAGTCATGTGACCAGATTTAGATTAAGAAAAAGTGAGAGTAGAAGATGGAAAGGGGAGGAGAAGGTGAGACTAGGGCAAGGAAGGCAGTTACAAAGTCTGTTGGTCTAGGCGAAGGAAGATGTGAGCCACAGTTAGCCAGGGGCGGGGGATGAGGACTCACTGGAGAGGAATTATGGAAGTAGAATCCCCAGGGCCATTTATTAGACGTGTTATAACTAGCTAGTACTAAGCTGTATATATGCTGTTTTTTCTTAAATATCTACTCCGTGTGAGTCAGCTTTCAGTCACTGTGACAAAACACCTAAGAGAATCAACTTACAAAGACGAAGATTTATACTGGTTCATGGTGTCAGAGGTGTCAGCTCTTGGTGGCTTGTCCCCATTACTGTGGGCCTGCAGTGAGGCAGAACATCATGGAGGAGAGCCCATGACAGAGCAGAGCTGCTCACCTCATGGTGGCAAGGAAGCAAAAAGAGTTCTTGCTTTTCTAACAAACCCCTTCTCCCAAAACCCATTCCAGGATGGGTTCATCTACTGATGGATTAATCCATTGATGGAGTCAGAGCTCTCATGAACCAAGCATACCCCAACAGCCCCACTTCTAAACAAGAGGACCAAGCCTTCAAGACCTGAGATCTGGGGGACCTTTAGTTTCAAACCATAACACACCCCTAGGATAAAGTTTAATTTATCAATTAGGCACAGTAAGAGATTAGCAATAATAACTAATAATAAAATAGAACCATTATGACAATTAGCTGTGTGGTGGTTTGAATTTGAAATGCTCCCCTAAAAGCTCATAGTTATCACTGCAGTGCTGTTCAGTGGTGAGAAGATTGGATTGTGGGAGCTCAGACCTCATCAGAGGATCCATTTGTTGATGGATTAATAATTTGAATGGACTCCTGGGTGGTACCTAGAGGCAGGTGGGGCACGGTTAGAGGAAGAAGGTCACTGGAGCGTGGGCTCAGGGACTCTATCTTCCTCTGTCTCTCTGTGTCTCTCTCTCTCTCTCTGCCTCTCTCTGCTTCCTGGCTGCCATGAGCTGACCAGCTTTCCTCTGTCCTTCCGCCATGATGTTTCGGCCTTGGAGCCAGCCAGCCATGGACTGTCTCTGAAACTAAGAGCCCAAATAAATCTTTCCTTAAGTTGTTCTTGACAGGTATTTTGGTTGTCACTATGAAAAGCTGACTAACTCACACTGTTAATAACAGTCGCTTTAAACGTTGAATTGTTTATTTCTGGAATTCTCCACCTCGTATTTTAGGCCTCAGTTGACTGTGGACAACAGAGGCTGTGGACACGGAGACCCTGGATGAGGGAGGATGCTGTAGTTGAAAAGTCCGGGTGAATCACACAAGGCGGGTGATGTCGGCCGCTGGAGGTTAGTGACCGAGGTGTGTTCCTTTTCTTCTTAACCCTGCCCGGGCAGCTTTCTGGAGTGAGTGATGAAGTGACAGATGGCAGTGCCCAAGGGATCTCTCCTGGCCTGGACTTTCTTAGAAATCCCCAAATTTTACCCTGATGTAGAGGCAAGGGATGGGATCAAGAGATAGGGGAAAAGTGGGAACAGTAGGAAGGGCAGCTCAGTCTGGGCAATAGTCATGAGCGAGGCCCTGGGCCAGGCACTGTGGGGTCCTCAGGGCTGGACAGAGGGCTTTTGTGGCCACTCCCAAGCTTTGACTCCAGGAACCTGATGCCTGGGACAGCACCCAGGGTGAGCCACATCCACTTCTCTGGCTCACTTTGGCTCAGCAGGGGCAGAGGACCACTGTTGGCCTGGCAGAACCTCTCGAAGGCTGGCACCAGGGACCTGTGCAGGACCACCAGGCTGGCTGGCCGGAACCCTAGGTTGGATGGGAGGAGGGACAAGGGCCCACTGAGTTGCTGCCTGGCAGACCCTTTTAAATTTCACTTTTTTTTTCCAGTGCTGGGGGTTGAACCCAGGGCCTTGGGCATGCTGGGCAGTGCTCTGCCGCAGCCCTTTACTTTACTTCTGATTACAACATTATAGACATCAGGGAAGATGCCCGAAGGCGTCCAGCTTGGTGAATTTTCACAAAATGAACATAGCGTGTCACCAGCATCCAGACCAAGAGACAGACATTATCAGCGCCCCTGAAAGACCTGCTCCTGCCCTCCAGCCACCGCCCCCTGCCAGGTTGGCCACTCCCCTGACTCCTCACACCACACATTCCTTTGGCCTTTCTTGGACTTCATGCAGTGAAACCACACACTAGGTGCATTCTGAGTCTAACTTCTTTCACTCCACATTACACTTGGGACGATCTTGAATATCATTGTGTTAAAACTGTCCGTCTCCCTTACTGATGAGCATATGCATGTAATTCTGGCCTGTTGCTAATGACATTTGAGGAGTTTCCAGGTTGGGGGTGCTAGACACTGTGCCCCCGTGAACACTTTAGCATATGCATTTGGGGGTACGTGTGTGCGCGGCTGTTTGGCAGGTACCTGGGTTTGTGGGACAGATGTAGTCAGCTTCCCACGGTGGCCTTGGCCATGTGCTGCCAAAGGCGTGGTGGTCCCAGTCCTTGGCATTGCCTGCCTTCCTGCCTTCCATGTTTGCCATTCTGGCGGCTGTGGAGTGGCGCCACCCTGTGGTTGTCACACACATTGCCCTGGTGTGGCTTGGTGCCACTTCACCTGTGGCATCGGCCATTGGTAGATCCTTTGGGGAAGGAATCTGATGGGTCTTGTGTGGGACAACCAACTGCCAAAAGGCCAAGGAAGCCATTATGCTCTTCAGGACTATGAAAATGACCCGGAGCAACGGAGGAGGGGTGACAGTCAGCTCAGAGTCTCCCTACCCTACCCGCTGCTTCTTCCCTCCCGAGCCTGTTGTGAGGATAAATTGGATTTTTAATACAACAAATCAGGGAGGCTTTAGATGCACAAAGCTTCTTTGTTCCCTTTTAATTAAATGTACTTCGGGGGTACTATGTTTAGGTTTTGTGTTTTTTCCCCCCTGCTGGAGATGAATAGAAAAGTCCCCAGTTGTCCCCCTTAGTGACAAGACGTGGAACAGAGGCCTCACTGTTTGGTGAGGGCTCTCTCCTGCCTGCTGTGATCCCTACAACCCGGGTCTCCCAGGCTCCACCTGACTTTGTCTTTGAGGAGAGAAATGAAGTGATTTCTCTGAGTCTTTTACCTAAAAATCAATATTTTAAAACTTAATAAGAGTGATGGAGAGGAACTCATCTTTACATCCTCGTCTGATTTAAAGCCCCAGGGAGAAGTCCAGGCTGGCGTTTTCCAGCCATTGGGTAAGGTGAGCTTCTCTGGCCCCTCCGGATTTCCCAACAGGTGACGTGGACGGAGTGCCCTACTTACCTTAGCTCAGGCAGATCTCCCTCCCGAAGGTAATATGGGGGATTCTATTGCTACCTCCATTTTGGAAGAGGTCACACAGTCCCCCCACATCTCCTCGACCAGTAGGGGCAAAGCGGGGGTCCACACCACAATGTCTGATCTGGGGGTCTAAGGCCCAGCTCTTCCACCCTAGTGCACCCCGAGGCCCCTGCAAACTGGTTTAAGCTAGGGTTTGCTGATCGCATAAATGACTATGGCTCTCTGTAAATGACGCTTCCCAGCTCTTTTGCAGTGGACCCTGGCCTTGGCCATGAGATTTGCTTTAGGGAACAGGATGTGAGTCAGTGATTGCGAGGGGTTAATGTTTGCGAGGACATTCGGGCTCACCTTCACTGGAGTCCTCAGCTACTACGGAGATAAGTTTGGCCACTCTTGTTGGAGAGGCTTCATAGCCAGAAGCTGGCTGTTCCAGCCATCCCAGTGGACACCAGACATGTAAGGAAGCCATTTGGCTGGTCCATCTCCAGCAGATACAGTATGGACAGAGGGATCCCTCCACCAACCCAGCCTTGGTTGCAGAGTTGTGGGAATTATGGTTTTAAGCTACGATGCTTTGGGGTGCTTTGTTAGGCAATAACACATAACGGTTAGCCCACAAACAGAAACAAAGGCCAAACATGTTGATAAACAAAACGAAGACTGCCTGTTCTAGCGAGTTCTTTAAGTAGTGTCACTAGTTTTCTCTTTGGTATTTGCACCATTACCAGGAAGGTCTGCTTTTATTGTGAAATTTTTCTGGGACTTAGGTCAGTGACAAATTCGGTATGTGTTCTCTCTTGCAGGGAACTTCAGGACTGTGGGTGTCCCCCTGGGAGAGGGTAGGGAGATGGGTGCTACCCAGAGAATAAGGCCAGTCAAAGGTGGGGAGACTGGGGCCTGGGATGTGTCTCAAGCAGTAGTGCGCTCGCCTGGCATGCGTGCGGCCCGGGTTCGATCCTCAGCACCAAATACCAACAAAGATGTTGTGTCCGCCGAGAACTAAAAAATAAATATTAAAAAAAAAAGGTGGGGAGACTTGGTCTGTGTCAAATCTGATTGGACTGCAGTGTAACCTGGGGTACTCTTCCCAGAAGGGACAGCCCGTTGGTCATCGGAGCCCACGGGCAGTTCTCCTTCTGGGGCTGAGCTGAGGAAGCAGCAGTGGGTGACCTGAGACCCCTCCCAAGGCTTCCTCACCTCTGGGAAGCTAGGTAGTGACCAGGGCTAATCGCCCTCTGCTCTTACATTCTGCTCCTCTGCAGAAGCTCTAAGTCTGGGGGAGGTCTAGATCCTACTTAATTGATATTTCCAGAAAAAAAAAGTTTTCAATATCTTTGAATTTTATTATTATTTTAATTTTACAAGTTTTATGAGGAATAATGTGAAATTTTGATACATGTATTCAGTGCATAATGATCATGATATTCTAAAAGCCATAGTCAGGTCTTTTTCACGGCATCCCATAGCTTGGATCTGTAACAAGTGCCAGGTGTCACCTCTTTGAAGGTGTTTTACGTGTCCTCCTCATTTAATAAAGTTTACCCTTACTTACTCCTTTTCAGTTCATTTTTCTTCATGTCATGTATCCTTGGAAGTTAATTAATTAATCTATTGGTTTATTTTCTATATTTCTTGCTAGAAATTGTCCCGGACCTGTGGGTATTGGCAAAGTGAGAGAAAGGGTCATCAGCTTCTGCTGGTCCTTCGGTGCTCTGATTTAGCCTATTTATATAATGACAACCCCCATGTCCAGCAATTTTCAAAAGCACCTGGTGCCACTCACCCGCAGCCGTGTTGGCTGTGTTTCTGATGTTTGCTTTCTTTTGTAGACTCAAGCTCCTTGATCCTAGGGCAGAGGGAAGGTTGGGCCTCCGGGGGAGGATGAAGGATGTCATACCTTCTGTGACTGGGCCACGGGGACTCTGGGTGGGGGCAAGAGGGGAACAGGTTCGCAAGCACAGCCCCCACCCCAGGAGGTGCCCGGGCAGCATCAGCTCCCTCCTCCTGCATATCTGGGGTGATGTTGTCCAGAGGAAGTTCTTCCCCTGCTCAGATCTGTTTTGGGGTGACTCTGCCTGACCTGGGGTGTCCTCCCTCCGTCTCTGAAGGACTTTCCCTTCCTCAGAAGCACTCAGAATCCCTGTGTCTGTGGGTGGCCGACAGGCTGGCATGGCCTCCTGGCTCTCAGAGCCATCTGGCCACTTGTCTTGACTTGGAGTCTCAGTGGCCTCCTAGTCTGCTTGACCCTCAACTCCTTTCTCTCCCCTGGGCCTGGAAGGCAGGAACCCACCTTAGACCTCTTCCCGAGGCCCCAGAGCCCCATCCTAAGCACACAGCACACACCAAAGACTTTCAAGGAGTGAGAGACTGCATGGATGCCACCCGCCACCACAAATGAACTAACAGGCTGATTGTCACTCTGCTCCCGACGCATGAGACTTAGAGTTAGATTCCTGAAGGCAGGAATTTTGTGTTTTCTTCCTTGTGCTCCCCTACCCTATTTTAGGAACAGTGATTTAATCAAATTTTTTGGTACGTGAATAAATAATGTCGAGTGGAAAATAGAATGCATTTTTAAAAATCAGCTAAAAGTTTAAAAAATATATATTTTTTAAGTATACAGATGGTCTCAGAGCTCTGAGAAATTAGGCTCAGAATTGACAACGTTAGGGTTCTGAATAAGTCGGATTGTCCAGAACTCTTTCCATCTAAGGAGAAGTACCCAACGGGATTCCAAACCACTAATTTACGTTGTCAATTCTAATCTCATAAACAGAAGGACATGTACGCCCCGGGTCCGTTTTAATGAAGACTTTGAGGTTACATAAAATCTGGAACAAACAAAACAACAAAAAGATTGCCCCTGCAGAGGAAGAGATGTGTTCAAAACTGACATGAGTGCTTTTATAGCTGCAGGAACAAAGGCGACACAGAGAGGGAACAGTTAGTCCCGCCTGGGGGGAGTGGGGGGGGCTCAGAAGGGTCAGGCGAGGTTGGATTCCACACCCAAGTGGAAGATGCCAGCATGAAGCCACGCTTGCCTGCTGGACCAGGGCAGCCTGCCTGAGCCTTGCAGGCCTGGCTGAGCAGCCCCTCACCCTCTGAGGTTCTAGATGCTGTGGTTCCCAGGGTCACGGCAGAGAATTTAATTGCACCTCAGCCTGATGCCCAGAGAGAGAACCAAACTATGAGAGGACAGATGTCAGAGCCTCTGGTAATTGTGCTCACCTAGGACCCGAGGAGGACCTAGAATTTACCCAAATCCACTAAAATGAGGCTCCCACACTAGTCCCTTGTCCTGTTAAGACTCTAGAAGGCAGCAGATGGAGGCAGGGGGTTGTTTGGCCGATAAATTATAACCTGAAGACAAACGTTTAGGGTTGTGGTCTTTCCTTTATTTATTTATTATTTTAATAAATCGTAAGTGAATAATCGCAAGTGGATTCCAGGTTCATTTCTGGACCTGAACTTGGAGCTATTATCCTGTCCTGTAAGATACGTGCACGCAGGGGTAACAGGCCAAGAATCCCTGCCTTAGAGTCACCCCTCAAGGTAGGGGTCAAGCAGAGCACGAGGCACGGGCTCACCGGCTCCTGCCCAAGTCTTCACCACACCAAGCAGAGAGTGCCCAGGGAATAAAAAACTGCCACCATGTATGGGTCCCCATGGTGTGTTGGACCCAGGTTGGGCCTTTCCACATACCACCTGCCGGTGCCTCCCCACAGTCCTCCAGAAAGTCACTATTAATCCCACCATAGAAAAAGAAACTGGGATTCAGGGGAGCTGAAGAAGTTTCCCAAAGCCCCATGACTGGTAGGTAGAGCCCAAACGCAGGTCTAAGTCATGCTCACTTGCTTGGCGTGCACCTGTCTGTGTCTGTGTATCTACAGATCTGTGTGTTCTTCTCCAGCCAGCCGTCCCGCCATCCCAAGCTCCTCCTCATGAACAAGCTACTCTCCTCCCTTACTAAGTCACATCCAGAAACCCGAGTAGTGTCCAGGCACAGTTCATCCATACGTCTGTCTGTCTGTCCATCCATCCATCCAACGAGCATCAGGGCAGGCTCCGAGCAGATTCTCTGGCTCTAAACCAGGGTCTACACTCAGGCACAGATCTTTAGCCACTCTAGGCTTATCCCTCATCTGTAGAGTAGGACCGGCCATAGAGGGCCTCGTTGAGTTGTGACCAGGGCGAGCAGGTTGGGACCCCTGCTGGCCCGGCCCTCAGCTAATCAGGCAGCCCAGTCAGCCCCCACTCACAGGGGTTTACCAGCCCTGGAGACAGACCTTAAACACACAATGACCCTGGTGGCTGTCTCCCAGGTAAAGACAGAAAAGTCAAGAGTGAACTTTAACTCCATGCACTGCATGCTCTGGGCCCCGTGGACTGGGGTGGAGGAGGAGAAGGGGCTGAGTCTAAAAGGATGAGTAGGGGTCTGAGGAGCAAGGGGAAAGGCCCTCTCAGAGCAGGGGACAGCAGGAGGCGTGGGGCCTCAACATGTGCTGCAGGTAGGAGGCGGCAGGAGGAGGGCCGGGGTGGGTAAGCAGAGGGCAGCTGAGCAGGGGTCCTGAGAGATGAGCATCTGCAGCCTCCCTCCCACCCAGCAGACTGCTAGGGGACAGCCGGCTTTAGCCCTGGGTGTGTCCTGCAAGACCAGCCAGTGCTGGGCAGGCTTGGGGGAGCAGCCGGGGTCGTTTCTGTGAAGCAGAGACAAGGGATCTCTCTCTCTCTCTCTCTCTCTCTCTCTCTCTCTCTCTCTCTCACACACACACACACACACACACGCACACACACACACACACATACACACACACACACAGATTGTCCTTGTTTCCTTTTGGTTCCACTGGGGCAGGACTTTTTAGAGATCTGTCTTAGTCATTGCTGTTCCCTCAGTGGATCTTCAGAAGTCCCTGGCACGTGGAAAGCCCCCCCTCCAGGTCCCCTGTTGGGGAAATGGGCACATGCACAGAGCTTCCTGAGACGAGGCCGCCTCCGAGGCAGGAGGGAACCCCAGGCTCAGAGGCCGGGGCAGCAGGCGTCTCTCAGAGGAGTTGGAGGTTCTACAGAGGTGAAGATGGACACAGCCCCCAGGCCCCCACTAGGCTTTGTAACCAGGTTCTCTTTCCTCTGCTACCATGATGGAGCCCCGCAGGCCTGGCAGCTGACAAGCACAAGGGACACCTTATACTTATACCTTATATATGGGATTGCATTTGAGACCTTGAGGGGCACAAAAAAAAAAAAAAAAAAAAAAAAAAAAGAAAGAAAGAAAGAAAAAGAAAACTGGAGACACAGTCCATTTTCTCGAAGCTCAGAATCTGGCCAAGAAGAGCGCATTATTCACAGGGAGAACAACTCGTGGTGTCCCACAACTCCAGTTCTGGTTTCCATGGCTGTCCCCTGGATCCCTTCCCCAGAGTCCTACAACTTGATAAGGGAGGAACAGAAGGAGTAGGTGTGGAGTCCTTGTCTCTACTCATTAATTTTTGTGGTGGGAGTTGCTCAGTGTTTGCCAAGAGAGTTGCTGGTGGTAGGCTAAATACAACTGCAAATTTGCAAAATAAACGTTGCTGTAAGGAAGGAAGCATTTAGCTATACAAACATTTCATTAAAAAATGTCATTACAATCTCAGAGACAAAAGATCGGGGAACGTCGGCAGTCATAATGAGTGTTTGTTTATTGACTAGGTCAGATACAAGTGGACTCGGTATGCAAAGGGTTGTGAATAGATGGCTGCTTTCAATCGAGACAAGTGGAGGCTCCTTCTCCTTCCCGTTTGTAAACAACGCAGTCCTAACACTATTAGGAGGCACAGAGGGAGGCAGGGGTCCATGGTGGGGGACAGGGGAGAGTAACAAAGCAGGGTGTCAGAGCCCAAGTGGCATGAGTCGGCCTCCCCAGGAGAGAGGATCCTGCCCCTGGTGGCCCATCCCAATGAGGGTGGGGAAGGTGTCCACATGTATGGGTGATGATCTACTGGAATAAAAAACATTAAATTAAAATATCCCAGATGTAAATTGTGAGTAAGACACATTCACTTTGAATGTTTAATTTCACACTAGAAAAAAAAAATAGGGATAAAAGGAACATACCTCATCATTGTAAAAGCTATATAAAACAAACCCAAGGCCAACATCATTTTAAATGGAAAAAAACTGAAAGTATTCCCTCTAAGAACAGGAACAAGACAGGGATGTTCACTTCCATCACTTCTATTCAACATAGTTCTTGAAACTCTAGCCAGAGAAATTAGGCGAAAGAAAGAAATGAAAGGGATATAAATAGGTAAAAAGAGCTAAGACTATCTCTGTTTGCTGATGACATGATTCTATATTTAGAAGACACAAAAAAACTCCACCAGAAGACTTCTGGAACTCATAAATGATTCAGCAAAGTAGCAGAATACAAAATTAACCCCCATAAATCAGTTGCCTATCCTCCAATGATGAATCAGCTGAAAGATAGATTAAGAAAACTATCCCATTCATCATAGCCTCAAAAAAAAATACGTGGAATCACATTAACAAAAGCGGTGAAGGATTGTACAATGAGAACTACAGAACAGTAAAGAAAGAAATTGAGGAAGATCTTAGAAAATCAAAAGGCCTCGCATGCTCTTGGATAGGCAGAACTAACATTGTCAAAATGGCCATACCACCCAAAGCTCTAAACAGATTCAGTACAATTCCCATCAAAATTCCAGTGACGTTCATCATCGAAACAGAAAAAGCAGTCATGAAATTCATTTGGAAAAATAAGAGGCCCAGAATAGCCAAAGCAAACCTTAATGAGAAAAGTGAAGCAGGAGGCATCACAATACCACACCTTAAACTATACTACAGAGCTATAGTAACAAAAACAGCATGTACTGGCACCAAACAGACATGAAGACCAATGGAACAGAACAGAAGACACAGAGACAAACCACATAAATACACTTGCCTTATAGTAGACAAAGGCATCAAAAACATACATTGGATTGGGATTAGGGCTGTGGCTCAGTGGTAGAGTACTCACCTATCATGAGCTGGTGTTGAGTTCGGTCCTCAGCACCACATAAAAAATAAATGAATAAATAAAATAAAGATATCATGTCCAACTACAACTAAAAATCATTTTCAAAAAAAGTTTCTCATTCTAAAAAAATAACATGCATTGGAGAAAAGATAGCCTCTTCAACAAATGGTGCTGGGAAAACTGGAAATCCATATGTAGTAGAATGAAATTTAACCACTATCTCTCACCTTGCACAAAACTCAACTCAAAGTGGATCAAAAACTTGGGAATTAGGCAAGAAACCCTGTATACTCTAGAAGAAAATGTAGGGCCAACACTTCAACATATCAGCTTAGGAACCAACTTCCTTAATAAGACTCCAAACACTAGAAGTAAAATAAAATATCAATAAATGGGGTGGTATCAAACTAAAAAGCTTCTTCAATCAAGTGCATGAATGGAGAGAGTCTACAGAATGAGAGAAAATCTTTGACATCTGCACCTCAGTCAGATGGTAGGGGGGTTAATTTTCAGGATATACAAAGAACTCAAAAAACTTAACACCAAAATAATAACAACAACAACAACAGCAACAATAATAACAACAACAACAAGAAACAATCACCCAATCAATAAGTTGGTAAAGGAAGTGAACAGGCACTTCACAGAAGAAATACGAATGTTAACAAATATATGGAAAAATGTTCAATATCTCTAGCAATTAGAGAAATGCAAATTAAAACTACACTGAGATTTCATGTCACTCCAGTTAGAATGGCAATTATTGAGAATACAAGTAACAATAAATGTGAGAATGTGGGGGAAAGGTTCACCCATACATTATTGGTGAGACTGCAAATTGGGGAAAACACTTTGGAAGTTAGGATGGTGATTCCTCAAATACCTAGGAGTGGAACCACCATTTGACCCAGTTATCCCACTCCTCAGCATATACCCAAAGGATTTAAAATCGGCATCTACAGTGACACATCCACATTAATGTTTATAGCAGCTCAATTCACAATAGCTAAGCTATGGAGCCAGCCTAGGTGCCCTTCAACAGATGAATGGATGAAGAAAATGTGGAATACATACACAATGGAGATGACTCAGCCATTAAGAAGAGTGAGATTATGGCATATGCCAGGAACTGGATGGATCTGGAGACTATCATGTTAAATGAAATAAGCCAACCCCCCAAACCAAAGGTCAAATGTTCTCATTGACATGTGGAAGCTAATCCACTGGCAGGGGGTGGGGTGGGGAAGACTAGCAATTCAGTAGATTAACAACATGAACGGAGGGAAGGGAGAGGGATGGGAAAAGAAAGACAATGGAATGAATCTAACATAATTTTCCTGTGTGTACATAAGAAAACACCACAGTGAATCCTACCTCATGTGAATCCACAAGAATGGGCTCCTAATTAGAACAGATACATTTCATGCTTGTATATTTATATCAAAACAGATTCTACTGTCATGTATAACTAAAAGGAATAACAACAAATGTTTAGTTTCAAGTCATAGGTGTGGAAAGTGCTATCGGACTCAGTGCATGACTTGCCTGGCGGAGCCAAAGTGCTTGATCCCGGTGTTTCTGGGCCAGCTCCACAAGACAGAGCCTGTCCTGGGGAAGGGGCGTTGTGTGTGCGCTCCACAGGGCCAAACCTTCACTTTCTGACTCTGAAAGTCTGGCAGTTACTCTGGTCTGCCCAGCACGCCTGTGAGTGTGCATTCTTAGAGTTCTAGAATATTTGAGAGCCTCATTCTTCAAAGTGAGTCTGTGTTTAGTTCCACAGCCAAGTAAAGCAACCCAACCAGGTGGCAGAACTCCAGGCTCTGACTGCTGTGGGCAGGGGAGGCCGACGGGCTGTTCCATCCCTGGCTTGGCCTGTGAAACGAGAGCACATGTGTTTGCTGATTTAATAGAGTTTCTGTCAGGCCAAATTCCTGTAACCACGAAATACGACCCGGGAATCCGCACGGTATTTGAGGGTAGATGCTGCCAGCAATAGATGCTGAGTCACGTGGTTCCCTGGGTGAGTCCTAGGATAAACCCTGGAGGTTTTGCTGTAGTGACATCTAGCCAGTTTCACTCCGCCCAGTGACCCACAAGCCTACTTCAAGGTCATCAAGAGCTCCACATCCTGATTGTGGAGGTTGGAAGCTCCAGGCATCCTCAGTCTATAGAAAAAAGCTTGGCCTGAAGATATCACCTGGGTCCATGGAGGACATGCCGAGCTGATGGCAAGGTGCATGCTCTCATTATAGGGTTGTGTGTGTATGTGTTTCATTAATTGAGAGTAAAACTAATTTAGCCCAGCTTGGTGGTACATGCCTGTAATTCCAGTAGCTCTGGAGGCTGAGGCAGGGGGATCGCAAGTTCAAAGCCAGTCTCAGCAACTTAGCAAGGCCCTAAGCAACTCAGTGAGACCTGTCTCTAAATAAAATACAAAATAGGGCTGGGGATGTGGTTCAATGGTTGGGTGCCCTTGAGTTCAATCCCTGGTGTCAAACAAACAAAACAACAAACAAACAAACAAAACTAATTTCAATGGGCCAGTGCATACATCTATCGGTCTCAGAACCATACATTAGTCCAGAATTGCATTTTCCCTGCCCTGGAAGCGATCCCACCTGAGAGCATACCTGTATGGAAACACACATATAAAACAGAACTGTTACAGAAGCAGGTACCATGGGACAGACGTGATAATTATAAGCCCTTGACCTTCATCCTCTCATGCTTAGTCTAACGTAAGACAATTGGATGGAAAGGGCGTGTGTACATATGGATTGCATTTCAGAAGGCAAAATAAATCCAAATAAAAATAAGCAAGCCCTGATGAGGTTCATTTATACAGCCATCACCAGCCCTGCAGAGGTGTCACGTAAGCACCACGGGCCCTGTGGAGCGCACACACAACGCACTTGTACTTTCCAAAGGTCTTTCAGTCCAGGAAAGCTGATCCACAAGAAAGGGAGGCTGGGCCTCACAGACTGTAAACTGCGCCATCATGATGGCGGGAGTTTGCCACCACCCCTCGCCGGGTTCCCTGTCTTAGACCTTCTGAGATTTCATTTAATGGTATCCTTGAGCACCAAGTGTTCAGGACTCAGTCCCTGCCCCACAAATTCTTTATTGCCCATGGCACTCAAAGTGACAGTGCCACATCCAGGCACAATAGGGACTGCATGCTTCCAACTGTGGGCACAGGAGGACTGGCAGGGTTAGTCTGAGGGTCCCCACTGGCTGAGAGGATGACTATGCTGGGCAAAAGCAAACTTTCTTAAGCAAGTTCCCCGGGAGGACTCAGAGAGGAGGTCTGAAGAGCCAAGGAAGGAAGGCGCATGCTCGGGCACCTTGGACCACCCCAGAGAGATGGGGAGAAGCCACCTGGGCCTTCTAGGGCCTTCTTCCCTGTGTGCAGCTGGCAGGAGGAGGAGCAGAGTCCCTGGGCTCTCCCTGAGTGTTGCCATGGGAACGGCGGGCTGGGAGGTGTGCTGCATCTATTTCTATGGCTCCTATCACCATGGCACCTACTTGCTCTGAAAAACACAGCTAAAAACAGAACGAGAACAAGAGGGGGACAACACCTCCCTGCAGTCACCTTCGGCAGTGGTTCTCATACCTGGTGATCGCTCACGCTGGCCTTTTCCATTCCGAGGGTCCATGGTTTTGCTGTCTGTGACCTTAAAAAACAAGGGGTTCACTATTCACATCAGCGCCACTGTGATGGCGAGGTGGCTTAGGTTCCAGAAAGTTCCCACTGGATTTGCTGCAGGGAGACGTTCCTCAAAGGAGCTCACACAGGAAGTGGCTTGTTCTGGGCCCCACGTCAGGCATTTTGGGGACAGGGAAGAAGTAGGGAGTGAAGGAGAGGGACCGTGGTGTCCACGGGCACAGATGACTCAAGAAAAAGCCTGTGCTGATTCACCAAGGAGGGTCGGGAGCTTTCCTGGGAACACTGGAAACTCGCTCCCCAGAGAGATCCACAGGCCAAATCCCTTCCCTGAAAGTCTTCCTGAAGTTATCCACTGTGCTTCCTGATAAAGCACTCAGCTCGTCTCCACCGTCAGACAGAACTTGACTTCAATCCTGACTTGGCCACTCGCTCGCCACGTGAGATCTGCGGGCCCCTCGAGAGCCAAAGGGTGCGCCCCTCCCGGGGACACGCTGCTTCCTGTGACCTCGGCCTTCCTGGTCCTCCCTCGGTTTTCTCATCTATAAAACAGAGGTGATAACAGCAGCTGTCTCTGGTGGTGGCTCTGCGGTGGCACCAGGAGGGAAGACACACGAAGCCCCTGGGATGTGGCAAGTGCTCAGTAACTGCTGGAGTCTCGGCTGAGAGGAGGAGGACAGCAGTGACAGCTGGGCCCACAGGGTGCTCAGGGGCTGCCGGTCATGCTCCCCCAGGCCTGACTTCCTGTCCTCCGTCTTGGGGTGGCAGCGACACGGGGGGCCTAGTTCACAAGTAGCCCCCTGCCTTCAGACTCTCACCCTCACTGGTGTCCCTGGGCATAAGGCTTTGAAGTGGGTGACTCTGTGGGTGGGGTCATCAGCCTAAGCACTTGAGTGACCCAGAGGACAAAGGACGTGTCCTGGGGAAAATCCCAACATGGTGACCTGCTTGTGGGCTTTGGGGTCAACAGCTCCGACTGAGGGCTCTGTCCTCCCTCTGCCTACTTGTCACGTGGCTCTGGACAAGTCAGTCGACTTCTTTTTCCTTCCCCGTGAAGTGGGGCGAATGGCTGGTCGGAGCTGGAGGGAAACCCGGGAGAGAGGTTCTCGCGCAGTCGCGCACGGGGCTCTCAGGACTGCAGGCTCCCCCTGTCTTCCAACCCCACCACAGCGGCGGGGGCAGATCGAAGGCTCCACGTGATGAAGATTAGCCTCACTAACAGGAGGAGGCAGGCCCATCTCCTGAACCGGCAGCACTAAACTCCAGGGTCACACCAAGCCAGGCCCAGGGCCCGGACGCCTCTTCAGTGCCCCCAGGGCCCTCTCACAGGCTCCATTTCTCACTCTCATGCCACACAATCAGTGGGCTGCTCTCATCCACAGCTCGCACCTTCGCTGTGGAGGTCATCGCGGCTGTCTCCCCGCCTAGCCCTGCTCCCGTCAGAACTCCCACTTCCCCAGGGAGATCCCTGTGCTCCCCAGGGACTGGACTCTACTCAAAGAACAGCCCTGCACAGGTGTTAGGACTTAAGCTAAGCCAGGTAGCTAATTCTGTCGCCCTGCACGAGGGGATTGACAGGTGTGACCTAAGGTGTTCCAATCCGAATGACTCTCAGGACTCTTCCCAGTCATGGGGGATGAGGGACAAGCCTGGGGCTGGTCCAGCTATCTTACCATGATGAGCAAAGCCAGTGCCATAAACCGGCACACAGAGGAGCATCAGCTGAAAGAGCTCAGCTGGGGCTGCGGTGGCATTATGAACGTCGGACAGGACCACAGCCCAAACTTGCCCTACCTCTGATTTTCTTAGTTCTGTGAATCAACAGATTCTATTTGTATTTAAATGGATTGAAGTTGGCTTTTCTGTAAATTCAGGTTGGCCGTGGCTGGAACGCTGCTTCCTCTCTGCAGATGGAGAGTCTTCACCACCTTCAAGCTCAATCCCAAGGTCAGTTTGTAACGAGGGGCACTCATGCTTTGAGTCGGATCCTTGCTTAACTTAAATCCTGTATGTTTTTCTCTCTTTTCTTCCTCTCCTTCTCTTGTTCCAGGACAGCCGGGGAAGCAGGAGTAACATTTTCCCCCTCCTAGGCAGAGCTATTGTGTCCTTGGGCGCCCTGAGCATGAGAATGAAGAAATCCAGACCTGGGAGCTGGTGCCAAAGGGTTTGAGGACTGAACTATCTCAAGGACACCATCTGGACATGAATGATGTCTCCTGATTTGTGCCCTCAGAACCTCGACCCTGGATTTCTCTTTAAAAAACCCTTTGCTCTCTCCTGCTGTTAGGAGAGTAGCCTTGCGACCTTCCTCTACTTATCTTCTCATTTGCTAGCAAACCAATAAAACTTCATTTTCTTTATTTTTTCTCAAAAATCTTGTCCTCATTATGTGGATGGGAGCCAGGGACAAGGACCAGGCTTTCGGTATCAAGTTCTTGAAGGGACTCCTGTTCCTTCACTTAATTCTTTCTTCCTGTACTTCAGAATCCCTATGTGCCATTTATGGAGTGAACCTCTTCCTAACCATAAAACCCACTGAGATTGATAGTGTCTCTGATTGTTCAGTGAGGACCCTGAGACCCCAAAATGTGGGAAATCATTTCCTCTAGGTCAGAACTAAAAACAGACCCTTTTGACATTTAAGGTATTAATAAGCTTTGATTTCTCTTAAAGGGTTAAGTTATTGCATTATTGCATTTCTTCAGAACGAGGCTGGTTTTTATATTTTGCCATCTATGCTAGTTACTTTTGTTGTTGTTATTTTCAGTGCTGGGGATTGAACCTGGGGCCTTGCGCATGCCAGGCAAGTACTGTACAGCTGAGCCACATCCTCAGCCCCATGGTAGTTACTTGATAAGCATTTGTTCCTAGATGATAGATGGAACTTCCTGCAACCAGAAACATCCTGTCCCAGGGGCCTGACGCTGCTCAAAGTTCTGCTGAATACTTTAAGAAGCACCAGGCACCAGGCTAAGTACTGGACATACGTAATCTCTTTTTCAAAAATGGTTCATTGTACTTACATTGGTCTTGAACCCAAAGGCCAGTGGCTTCTTTGCCAGAGCCTACAAGTGGAACCTGTTGGGATTGGGAGTGGGGGAGCTGTACAGAGGAACAAACGCGGAGGGCAGCATGTGTCTGGGTGGGAAGGGCAAGCCCTTGGGTTTAACTCTTGACTCTCTTATTACATGGGAGTTTGGGAAAGTTCCTGTGTGTGTGTGTGTGTGTGTGTGTGTGTGTGTGTTTAATCTCAATTTTGTCAAATAAAGATACAGTCCCAATACCTCCGAGCTGTTGGGAGAGTAAATCATGTTACTCAAACAACCCAGAACAAAACCTGGTGCCATCTTGCTCTTTGTCCACTATATTTCTCCTTTGCTGAGCAAGATCATGACTGGTCCTCACAGGTATGCGTCCCCCCTGCTCTGTGGATGATGGCCAACCCTTCCCAGGAACCAAAGCAAGATACAGAGGTTCAAGAAAACATTGGCCACCAGAGGGGAAGAAGTTTCCATCCCATTTCTTGCCAAACATAGATCTGCTGCTGGGAAGCCAGAGCATGCCAAGAAACGACTGTAGCCCAGACCACTTTGTTTCATTGCAAATTCATTGTGTTTAGATTATGACTAAACCATTTCTCTTTTGTCTCTGCCCAGCAACCATGAGCACTTGTAGATCTGACAGCCTGCCTGAGCATCAAGTCTTGCTTATTTTACAAAGGGAAAGGGATTTTTTTCCAAGGGTTCAGTATGCGTTTTCAATTGAGATATGAAATTGTTCCACAGAACAGCTAAATTTGCCCTAGATTTGGGGTATTGTCATATCACCAATATGTATTTGCTCAGGGATCTGTCAGAAAAGGAAAATGACAGATTTGACTGAACTGCACTTCGCTGAGACTGAGGTAGGGGCAGGGAGGCTTGAGGGGCAGGAAGACATAAGATATCTTTGCATTTTATCTCCCTCTTCTAATCACCCCTGCTAATCACCTCTGCAAGAAGGTGGGTAAGCCCAGCTTCTGGTTCCATCCCAGAGTGAGGTTTCTGTGGTTGACTGTTGTAGACTTCTGCGGGAAGCTGAGAGGCGGTGTTCTCAAAGTGTGGCTCTCCAGGACACCTGTATCAGAATCCCAGAGTGTTTAAAATGTTTAAAATCCTCATTTCTGCCTTCATCCCATTCCTGCTGAATTAGCCTGCAAATTATTGGGAACCTTAAGTAAGCCATTAAGAACACAAGTTTAAACCACATATGGTGGTGCATGCCTATAATCCCACCTACTCAGGAGGCTTAGGCAGGAGGATCGCAAGTTCAAGGCCAGCCTGGGCAACTTAGACTCTGTCTCAAAATAAAATTAAATGGTCTGGGGATGTAGCTCAGTGGTAGAGCATTTGTCTAACCTGTGCCAGGCCCTGGGTCCAATCCCCAGTACCACAAAAAACTAAAACCAAACCAAAACAAACAAACCCTACAAGTTTAGATAAGTATGGATTGAACTCCGGACTCCAGCTCTGCTACTTTTGCTTGTAGACCTGGGACAGGTTATTTAACTCTCAATTTTATCAACTGTGCAAAGAGAATGCTGAGCAAGTCAAGGGATATGGAGCCTGTGTGCTTGTTATAAGGAAGAAATGAAATCAATGTTCAGCAACGTTTGGCACCTAGTCAATGCTCAGTGTGCAGGGGAAGGAGAAAACTTTCCCTCCATGCTCTAATGGCTCAATAAAACTGACAACAGACAGATTCACAGGAGCAAAGATACACAAATTTATTATGTGCACATGTATAGGAGTCTCACACAATAAGAGATTCAAGGAGCAGCCAGATGATGGAGTATTATAAATGTTCTGAACTACTAAAAGGAAAAGCGGGGGGGGGGCTGGGGTGTAGCTCAGTGGTAGAGTGCTCGACTAGCATGTGTGAGGCACTGGGTTCGATCCTCAGCACCACATAAATAAAATAAAATAAAATAAAATAAAATAAAATAAAGGTATTGTGTCCATCTACAAATAATTAAAATAAAATAAAGGTATTGTATCCATCTACAAATAATTTAAAAAAAAAAACTAAATAAAATACAAAACAGGCCTGGGGATGTGGCTCAGTGGCGGGGGGCGGGGTGAAAGGTAGAAGTGCATGGTGAACAAATGGTGTCTTGATAGGAAGAGACAGTTTCTCTCAAGTGACAAGCAGCCCTCACATGAGGCGCTGGCCCATGACAAAGTCTGTGGCATCCACCTTCAGCCTTCTCCTGGGTGCATGAATCGTCCCTTGATTCCTGGGTTCCTTTTGGAGGATCTTCCTTTAGGCAGATAAGGGAACTTCAGGGAAAGTTCAATGAGGGGGGAAGGGGGGTGGTGGTGGAGAAGAGGGGCAAGAGACAGTGGCAGGGAACAGACAGAAGTGAGCAGTGGGAGCCTGGGGTTGAGGGGATGATTCTATAAACCAAGCCTACTAGGCTGACGCCTACCAGCTTTCTCTTGAAAACACATTTACCTGGGTCCCTGCCTGGCCTAAGTCAATAGATAAGTTACATTCCTCAGCAAACAGAACATTATCTGCAGGAGAAATGCAGTCACTAAAGTCTCCTCCCTGCTGATAAGAAGAATGCAAGCTACCCTGAGGAGTGGACTCTGTGACCTTTACACAGACCAGATTCCAGGGGTCAGGGGGACAGGATAATTAGAAGCAAAGCCCCCTACCCACAAAATCTGTAAGGACAAGTTCCAATGAGACCTGGTTAGCATGGGATAAAGTGACCTAGAGTTGCCTGGATCTTTGGCATGTCCTTATAATAGTAAAGTCTCCTTTCCATGGGAGAAGACCATAGGCAGCAGAGACTTGAAATTCTGATGAAATCCTGCTGTCAGTCAAAAGTCAAGAGGTGGACCTGAGAAGCCTCTGTGGCAGCTTCTCTGGGACCCCCAATAAAACAGGAGGGCAGGAGGGGCCTGCCACTGTTCTCCTCTCTGAGAGGATCTACTCTTTCCTCTGAGAGTGTCCTCTTTTACTCTTTGACCTTCTAACTAACTCATGGCAGCTACTCTGTGTGACAGGTCCGAAATCTTTCCAGCATGATTGCAAGAACGAGTACCCCCAGGACCACCTGGTTGCCTTGGCTCCACAGTGGGCTCTTGTTCTGAAACAACAGGGGCACAGGAGAAGGTCAGAGACAGCTTGGCTCTTCTTTAGTTCAAAGCACTTAGTATGCCAGGGTGACTACTTTCGGGCTATCCCCTTCTGAGCCCCAATAAATACATGACCACTCTTCTTTTTATATAACACCTACGCTCAAAAAAATCTTAGGACCCTACAAGATATACTTGATAAACATGGCCATCGCGGCCAGCGCCAAGATTCTTCTTAGTATTATTCACTGCTACAGATTTTGACAAATTTACAGACCAGCA